GTTTTATTTAGTTCTCCCTAGAACTAAATTAAAACAGTATGGCAAAACTTCAATAATTGTTAATCTGGATAATGAATACATTGACACTAGGATACTATTCTTTTTTTTTTTCCTGTATGTATAAGCATATAAAACATGTCTCACGTTTTTTGGTTTTAGTTTCCATACCTGTTAAAAAGGGAGAAGCTGGAGAAAACAAGCACAATAGGCACATTGAGTTGTTTGTCTGAATTTAATGACTAAAACAGTGGGGAATGCCTTACGTAGTCAGTATGAGGTCCAAAAGGAGCACTTTAGGAAAGGTGACTAGAGTTGAAGCTTCCAATTCAGATTTGTCTGTTCCACAAGAAAGAACATCTACCAGCTAAGCAGCACTGGCTATTCCTTAACAAGTTGTGGAACTGGTTAAGGAATAGCCTTCTACTTACTAACATTGTACATGCAGCACTAAGACATTTACCCTTGCAGTAAAATTCTTTTAAAGCCTAAGCTTTACAATATGGACCCTACACTTTTCTACAGATATTCCCTAATGCTAAATGTCTCCAAACTATTTTAACATTCTCTGCCTCATAGAACCTTTTCACAGCCATTTATTTAGCACATTCATTCTGTGCAAAGAACTAGACAGAGTGCTGTTATAGAAGAAATAGTCATGGAATTTGTGTACAAGGAACTCGAGTCTAAGCTGGTGTTAAAGTGAAAACCTAAAAGAGATAGATTATAAAGTAGAACACACTTTAAGGAGCTTAAGAGCACTATAGGGAAAGCACCATAAGATTTAGAGGAGGAAAGATGTACTTTTGTTGGTAGAGATCACGCAAGGTTTCCAGTCTGGGCCCTAACAAAGAAGCAGATTCTCTAAAACTCAAGAAAATGAACTCTGGAGTTACTAGAAATTTAGTGTTGTGGCTAGGTACAAAATTAATACATAAGTAAGTCAGTATGTTTCATGTATATAACCACTAGTTAGAAGAAATAAAGTAAGGGAACACAATATTTATAATGGCAACAAAAGAGATAAAATTCCTGAATGTATAAATTTTTGCTATGTTAATTCTAAGAACTCTGTGGAGAATATGTAAATGCTAACTGGTTTGAACAAAATCATACAATTATTATACAATTATATTGTTGGACAGAAAATAAGATAATGGTGTCAATTCTCTAGAAGCTAATATGTGAGGGTTTTTTTTTTTACATTTTTAAAAGTTTTAATTCCAGTGTTGTTAATATATAGTGTTATATTAGTTTCAGATGTACACCATAGTGATTCAGCAGTTACATATATTACTCAGTGCTCATCAGCATAAGTGTACTCTTTTAATTATTTTTATTTTTAAAGATTTTATTTTTAAGTGATCTCTATACGCCCAATGTGGGGCTTGCACTTAAACCCTGAGATGAAGAGTCACATGCTCTACTGACTGAGCTAGTCAGGTGCCCCAAGATAAGTGTACTCTTAATCCCCACCTGTTTCACCCATCGCCCTGTCCACCTCCCCTCTGGTAACCATCTGATCTCTATACTTAAGAGTCTATTTTTCAGTTTGTCTATTTTTTCTCCTTTGTTTTCTTAAATTCCATATATGAGTGAAATCATATGGTATTTCTCTCTCTGACTGACTGACTTTGCTTAGCATTCTACCCTCTAGATCCATCCATGTGGTTGCAAATGGCAAGGTTTCATTCTTTTTGATGGATAAGTAATATGACATGGTATATACATGCCACATCTTTATCCATTCATCTGTCATTGGATACTTGGGTTGCTTCCATATCTTGGCTAATTGTAAATAATGCCGCAGTAAACATGGGCATGCATATATCCTTTTAAATTAGTGTTTTCATATTCTTTGGGTAAATACCCAGTAGTGCAGTTACTAGATCATAAGGTCGTTCTATTTTTATTTTATTTTATTTTTTTAAAGATTTTACTTATTTGTCAGAGAGTGCACACAAGCAGGGGGAGCGGCAGGCAGAGGGAGAAGGAGAAGCAGGCTCCCCACTGAGCAGGGATCCCAGTGTGGGGCTCGATCCCAGGACCCTGGGATCATGACCTGAGCCGAAGGCAGACACTTAGCTGACTGAGCCACCCAAGTGTCCCAATTTTTAAAGATTTTATTTTTAAGTAATCTCCACAACCAATGTAGGGCTCAAACACACAACCCCAAGATCAAGAGTTGCATGCTCTACTGACTAAGCCAGCCAGGTGCCCCTAGTTTGCTTTTTTATTTTAAAATTTTTCAAGTTTTTTGGGTGCTATAATACATATAACATATTACTTATCATTTGAACTATTTGTAGATGTGCAATTCAGTGGCATTAGTCACATTCATTCTCTGTTGTTATGAATTAATTGCCTATTCTAGGTACCTTATAGAAGTGGAATCGTACAATATTTGTTTTATGTGTGTCTTATTTCACTTAGCATGGTATTTAAGAATCATCCATGTTGTAGCATATATAAAAATTTATTTCCTGGGGTGCGTGGGTGGCTCAGTTGGTTAAGTGGCTGACTTTTTTTTTTTTTTGAAGATTTATTTATTTGAGAAAGAGAGTGTGTGCACGCATAGAGAGCAGGGAGGAGCAGAGGGAGAGGGAGAGAGAAACCCAAGCAGATTCTACCCTGAGCGTGGAGCCCTATATGCAGCTTGATGTCACACAACCTGAGCCAGAACCAAGAGTCAGACACTCAACTGACTGAGCCACCCAGGCACCCCACAGCTGACTCTTGATTTTGGCTCCTGTCACAGTCTCGGGGTTGTGGGATCAAGCCCTGCGTCTGGATCCTTGCTCAGTGGGGAGTCTGCTTGAAAATTCTCTCACTCCCTCTGCCCCTCCCCCTACTCGTCCATGCACGTTCTCTCTCTCATATCTTCAAAAAAATCCTTTCCTTTTTATGGTGTGTATTTTTATTGTGTGTACATGTTACATTTCATTCATTCATCCATTCATCTGATGGATGGACAATTGGGTTCTTTCTACCTTTTGGCTATTGTGAACAATGCTGCCATGGGCACTGGTGTACAGATAACTATTCGAGTCCCTGCTTTCTGTTCTTTTGGCTCTATAGCTGAGAGTGGAATTGCTGAGTTATATGGTAATTCTGTGTTGAACTTCTTGAGGAATTGCCAAACTGTTTTCCACAGAGGCTGCATCATTTTGTTTAATGTGTTTTTAAACTTTATATAAATGACATCATTTGTACATATACTAACTTGTTTTTTTACTGATCTTTTTAATAGATTTATCATTGTTAATATATAGCTGTAATTTGTTGTAGCTTCTGCGTAGTATTTTATTGTATACATTTTATAATTTATTCATGTATCCGTTAATGATGGGCTCTTAGGTTGAACTCCCCACGACTGTTTAAAAACAGCCCTGTAATGAATATTATAGAAGTCTTCTTGTGCATATGTGTACGTCATTAGGGTATATACCCGGTAGTAGAATTGGAGCATACAATATGTCTTTTCAGCTTTACTAACTGTTGCAAAATTATTCTCACACGAGAAAGTGGGAGTTTCCATTTTCCTTATTCTTTGGATGCTTGGGTTATCAGATGGGTGTGAAAATGGTATCTAGTTGTTTCATCTTGCATTTCCCTGGCAGCTAGTGAGGTTTGCTGTCTTTACCTTTGTTAAGTGACCTTCCAAGTTTCATTATATGTACATTTCCTTTTCATAGCATCTGCCAGTTTCTTTTTGGGATCATTTTATCTTGCAATTTTAGGATTTTTTAATATGCTGAGAATACTAATCTTTTTTGTTTTATTCTGAAAATCTCCTAATCTCTGCCTTTATGGTATCTTTTTAGTATAAAACTATGCAGCCCAGATTTAATTTCAATTTAATTAAAATTATACATTCATTTCTTCAGTAGCCACATGTGGCTAGTGGCTACTGTATTGGACACTGCTGATACAGGACATTTCCATCATTGTAGAAAGTTCTGTTGCACAGTTCCTGATAGAAAGTTTTACTTTTTTTTAATTTTTATTTTTTTAAAGATTTTATTTCTTTGACAGAGAGAGACACAGTGGGGGAGGGAACACAAGCAGGGGGAGTGGGAGAGGGAGAAGCAGGATCCCTGCCGAGCAGAGAGCCACATGCGGGGCTCGATCCCAGGACCCTGAGATCATGACCTGAGCCGAAGGCAGACGCTTAACGACTGAGCCACCCAGGCGCCCCCTGATAGAAATTTTAAACTTTAACAAGTTTATCATAATATTTCATTATGGATTGTGATTTTGTGTCTTTCATGAGAAATCTTTTAGCACCATTATGTCCGGGAGGTATTCTCTTATGTTTTCTTTTAAACAGTTTGCTTTTCTTAGTAGGTCTTAGAATCCATCTGGAATTTAATTTTGTGAATGGTGTTGATGTGAGGTCAGGATCTGACTATATTTTCTTCTATATGGATTTTTGTTCTAGCATTATTATTTTGATAGTGGATCTACTCTACACTGAGATGTAATGCCTCCTCTGTCATTTGCCAGGTTTTTAGTGTATGTGTGCTTCTTTTCTGGTGGGCTTTTTTCCCCTGGTATTTTAACTTTTCTTTTTCCTTTTCTTCTTTCCATATCCTTTCTTAACCCTTTTTTCTCCATTTTGAAGTTGGGGTCAAGTTTTGACAAATTCCCCTAAAAAATAAACTTGTTGGGTATTTGTTTAGAATTGCATGGAATTTACCAAATAATTGGTGAGAATTGGTGGTTTTATACTATTGAGTCTAATAATCATTTTATTCTAATTTTATGCCCCTTGGTAATAATTAGTAATTTTTTCCTTAAAGGTGAAGCACATCTTTTAATAGGATTTTTTTTTGTTTGTTCATGTTAAAATTTTCATTAATGAGACTGATGTGTAGTTGAGTTGCATTGGTGTTATCCTAGCCCCGTTAAGTGATTTGGGCAGCTTACTGTCTATCTTCTTTTCTGTTTTCTAAAACAGTTGATATTTGGGATTTCTAGAAAATTCTGAATGTATTTTTCAGCTTGCAAGCAGTACTTTGAAAAGTATCCGGGAGACCATGAACTCCTTTGGGAGGTTGAAGGTGTTGGACACTGGTACCAGCGAATACCAGTCACCAGAGCATTACAGAGAGAAACACTTAAAATTTCAGGTAAGAATTATAGGTTTCAAGTTGGAACACATGTCAAGCTTAAAGAGCAGAGCCTTTTAATGTTTGTGTCTCTTAGTCCAGAGTTATAGTATATTGTAATGTGACCTCTCTAGTAACAGATCCTCTTTTCTAAAGTTTGAATTTTTGTTATGTATTAACATTTTAGTCACTAAGAATAAGAGGACCTAGAATTATAATAGCCCAGCAGAATCTAACATTCTAGGAATTGGTGGGTAAGAAGGAAACACAGATACCTAGTCAGCATAGAATAGGCATCAAGGAATTAAAGAGTAGTCCCTGGTTTCATGCATCTTTCCTCAAAGTCACTAAATACAGATAACTAATACTTTATAATTGCAACGTTTCATTATAACATATTGGTTAAGGAGATATTCCACACCTAGATTTTCCACACCCTTCTGTTCAGGATGCTATTCAGGACTTTTGGGTAAATCAGGACAAACCATGTTACAATTAAAACCAAATACTGATTGGGTTACAATTTTTAAAATTCTTCTGTACACAGCAGTTTCTCAAAATGAAGCTAAAAGACCTATGTGTGGAGAGTATGGTCTTTCATCTGTTCCAGAATATGAAGCAGAAACTGAAGACAATCAGTCTAGTGAGATGCAGCTAACTGTAGGTACACTGTATGTTTATTGTAGGAAATAATTTTTCTGTTCTTTAAACTAGATTCAGCTAATATTTAATTTTGTAAATGTTAAAGTTTATTCATCAAGTTTTACATAATTTTAAAATTTTTACTGTGTTAGTTTTCTTGGTATCTCCTGTTAATGGCTTACTAAGGACTTAATTTTCTTTGAAAAATAATTTGGAATCACACAAAATAATATAGAAGAAAATAAAAATCTGTAATCCCACTACGCCAGATATAGCAACTGTTAACATTTTTGTATTTGTATTTTATATATATTATAAAACATGTATCTGTATACATTTTTGTTTTCTGTTATGCTGCTTCTGTTTTTCCTCCATTAACATAATATTATAAGCATTTTCCATGGCATTATTGTTTTAAAACATTGTTAAATAGCAGTGTACTATTCTATGTAAATACGATTATTTCTTTAACATACTATACTTAAGTTTTTTGCATAAGTGACCCAGCAGTGAACACATTTATACATGCATCTTTTTGCCTATGTAATTCTTTCATTGCACTGATAAATTTCTAGAGGTGAAATTAGGAATAGGTCAAAGGTTATGAAGTCATTGTGGAAAGTTTGAGTCTATCTATGCTAGGTCTTTGTAGAATGTAATGCACTTTTAAAGTACTAGGTAAACCTTTCAGGGACAAGTGCTTTGGGGAATTACTTGTGCCTCTTATTCCTGACTTAATTAGCGTGAATGTTGACTGAACTTTTTGGAAACCTTTTTAAGGATAATATAAATCATATAATTACTTTTAAGGAGTTAGATTTTTTTGTTTTTATTTTTTTCTACATTTGGAACCAAACTAAATGGTAAGCCTGGGTTTGATTATATTGTGATCCAAATTCCTCAGATATACTTAAATTTATTTAGTATTGGTCCTACATCATAAAATCGGGGAATGTAGAAAAAAATCTTTTCCCAAAATGTGGTGAGAGCAATGATTTACCTTAATGATAAGCCAAATAATTTTAAATGAGCTGTGTAAATGAGAATATATATTAAACCATGTCATAAGATTGGCCGCATAAATTCAGTTTTCTTTCATTATAGAAATTCATGTTCTTCAAATTACTTTAAGATTTTAATTAGTTCAAGGAAAATATTTCTCACATTAAACTATTTTATCTTTTTATTGCTAACCAAATGGGAAAATGGTTTTGTTTGTGTATTTTAACCACATTGTTTTTAGCTTTACTGCGGTATAATTGACAAAAATTGTACAACTTGATGTTTTGAGATAAACTGAAATGATCACTATATGATTTATTCTAGGTGATGATGGTATTTCTACTTGCTTTTTCCTATTTTGTGACATAAAACATTACATGTACTTCTCTTACACTCTTTGAACCTTTTTTAATTGATTTCTTTTGTGTGTTACCTTGTCTAGTTCAACTACAGGCTTCTTGAAGACAGGATTTTTATCTTATCTGTCACAGTTTATCCTTGTTTGTGTCCTCTCAGTAGACCTTCTTAAAGTCTCTGTGCCTGTTGTGTTGTAGGGTTTCATTAAGTGTGTGATGAATGAATGAATAGTAGTTTATGTAATAGATACTGTGGCAAGCACTGGGTGTACAAAGATATGGTTCTTACAAGCATGGGAGAAGTAGATGGTCCATTATTGGAAACATAAAATAAAGTACAGTATTATAATTCCCTTAATAGAGCAAATAGCAAGTGTTTGAAGGTACGTAGCAGAGTATGAGTAACTCTACCCCAGGAGTGGAATAGGTGAGGTAGCAACCAAGCTGACTTGCAAAGGGCAGGTGTGAGTTTTGTGACAAGGGTTAGGGCATTCCAAATGCTAGCCTGTGGAAAAAAAAAAAAACCAAAACCAAACAGGTGTGAAAGAAAATGGCATGTTTGATATGTAAGAGGCATTTGGTTTTGAAGAGGTTGAGAATTTATATTCTAGGCAGTGATAAACCATTAAAGGTTTTGTTTCTGGCTTTTTTTAAAGCAAAAGAGTAGCACCATTTGTGATTTGGAAGCATCTCTGTCATCAGATTGGAGGGGATTATAGAGCATGTGATTAGAGCAAGGGGTACCAGGGATGAGGCTCTCGGAGTAATTCACATTAAAGATGAAAAAGGCCTAAACGAAAGCATCGGTAATACGAAGGAGGGGGCAGTTTTGGGAGATTCTTCAGAGTCAGAATTGACAGGCTTTCCGGTTCACTGAATGAAGGTTAAGAAGAAATCATTACTGACTTACAGGTTTTTGGCCAGAATGGCTGACTGAACTGTTATTGCCATTAACCAAGACAGAGAATAATACAAGTTCAGTTTGGAACAGGTTGGTTGTGAAATTAGATGGAGTCCATATTTCCTTTAAAAAAGAGCTTTGGAAATCAGGAAAGAAGTTGGGGAGATTAAATTGTCTATCTGGATTCATCAGCAAATAGATGTTGAAGTAAAGGTAGTAGATAAAATTACACAGGGAGAGGGTACGGACAGAGAAGAGGGGCTTGCCCAGGACAGGACACTAGGAACCTCCAGTGAGTTGCCTGTAACATATGAGATGGATTGTAAGGGCTCAGCCTCAGGATGAACTGAGGCTGTAACAGCACCTTTTAATTTCTTCAGTAAATTTCCTTGAATGGTGACTAGTGAATACCAAAAGTACTATTTGAAAAATGTTTCACAAGATTTTCTTTGACACTGACTAAAGTAGATTCATAGGGAGAAAAAACGATCTAAAACTTTTGGTTTTAATCTGTATTTCTGTTTTAGATTGACTCTCTAAAAGATGCCTTTGCAAGTACTTCTGAAGGTAAGAAATTGAGCTAATCTACCAGTATGTGAGATGCTTAGAATTTAGGGGTGGGAGATGTCTATTAGAGTAAGTGAACACTCATCCCACTCTAAGATCTAGAGCTGAGTTACAACGCCACCACTACCACTGGTCTTGCTGTGTGAACAGAGTAAGCTATCACACCTCTTTTTTCCTCATTTCCTTAACCTGTAAAATAGGGAGAGTGATGTCTGCCTTGTTTATGTCCCGAGAGTATTGGGAGAAAATATAAGTGAAAATGCAAAAATACATTGCAGAGCTCAGGGCAATATGGAAATGGGAGGGATGAATAATGTGAAGTTATTCCATAATTTAGAAAAAAAGACTGACATTGTTTTTTGGCCTGATAGAAAGAAATGTGTAATTGTGGGAATATATGTAAGCTAGCATAGTTCTTAGATTTCTGTGTGTTGTAACAGATAATCCTTTCAGGATCATACTGAATTAATTGTAGTTCTGCTGTTTTTTCTCAGGTCATGATAAAACACCAGTTTCCACTCGTACTCGAAGTAGTCATCTGAAGCGGCCAAAGATTGGGAAGCGGTTTCAGGATTCTGAATTTAGTAGTTCTCAAGGAGAAGATGAAAAAACGTCCCAGACTTCACCTACAGCTTCAATAAACAAGTAAAGTATTGGTTATTTTACTCTCATTATTTTGTTATTCTTACTTCCATATTTTTGTAAAGGTTTTATTTAATTGAGAGAGAGAGCACAAGCGGGGAGGGGCAGAGAGAGAGGGAGAAGCAGACTCCCCGCTAAGTAGGGAGCCTGATCCCATGATTCTGGGATCATGATCTGAGCCGAAGTTAGACTTAACCAACTGAGCCACCCAGGTGCCCCTTCTTATTTTCGTGTTACTAGTATTTAGTATTTAAGATGGAAGTTGTTATTATATATTGTTTGTGTAGCACATAACCTTGGTGTAAGAGTTTGTATTTGAATTCTTCTACAGGATTACTGATTGTACTCACTTTGACATATTACAGGGAGAAGTTGCTAGTAAGAGAGTAAAATAAATCCACAATTTAATCTCTCATGTTTGAAAATCCAAGAGAATATTCTAGTGATTATATTATCCCAACTTTGATAGGAGCTATAATTTTTAGTAATGCTGAGGTTTAGTCAATTTTTTAAAAACCCTAAGTTTTATTGTATAATGGATTCATTTTACTGGGTTACTGGATATAACACAAATTAGCAATAACCATAAGTGGTTCAGTCCCATCCTCTAGGAACTTAATAGCCAGCTGAATCAGTAGAACACTGGGGTCAAATCTTTATCCTCTATCTTCCTGGGAACCTTAAAGCAAGATTTCAAATTTTATAGTAAAACTAGACTTTTTTGTCATAATAGTCCTACCAGTTGTTCCTGAGTTAACCATTCATAGGTTTGCTGTTTTATCTGTGAAATTATTTTACTCAAGTAGAAAATTTTGTAGCTATGCTAATGTAATTATGTAAATAATTTTAAATTTGGATAATTGTGTAATTATGTAAATGTTCTATTTTAGTGAAAAATTCATGTTAAAGGCAAATATAACTATTTAAATATTTAAATCTAGTAATGTGAAAGATAAGAGGTTGGATAATTAGCTTTCCTCCTGTGTAACATTTGATGTAATACCCTTTTTAGAAGGGAATATAACAGTGCATTTATATTGAACATCCCAGAATTATTGTAGGATTTTGTTTTTCTGTTTTTCTTTTTTTAAAGATTTTATTTATTTATTTGACAGAGAGAGACATAGCGAGAGAGGGAACACAAGCAGGGGGAGTGGGAGAGGGAGAAGCAGACTTCCCGCCGAGCGGGGAGCCCGATGCGGGGCTGGATCCCAGGACCCTGGGATCATGACCTGAGCTGAAGGCAGATGCTTAACGACTGAGCCACCCAGGCGCCCCCTGTTTTTCATAAATAGAACGGTAACAGTAAGACTACATGCTTGAATGCTTACTCAGCTATTATGAAGAACAAAATTTCATCTTTGCCCTTGAAGAATTGACTGCCTGGTGGTTTCTAATTCGCTAGCTATACCTGTGACACAGGTTAAGAACACTGCAAGGTAGATCGTGATGGTACAATAATAGAAGTGCAAAGTGGTGTAGATGCAGAGTAGAGATTTGATTGAATCTAATTGAGGGGATAGAGAGATTAGGCATTTGGGCCAGGGCTTGAAAGAAAAGATGAAACTCAACAAGTCGAGAGAGAAGATGTTCTAGTCGGGGGAGTCCACAAACTATGGTCTGTAGATCAAATCTGACCCACTACCTATTGTAAATAAAACTTTATTGTAACACTTCCATATCTTAGATGTTTGTATGGTTGCTCTTGCATTACAATGGCAAAGTTGAGTAGTTGTTCAGAGACCATATGGCCCATAAAACCTAAAGGAATAGTTTGTTGACCCCTGATGTGTACGAGGGTTGTCCAGAGAACTTACTGTGATGATGAAAATGTGCTTTATGTGCCCTGCCTAAAACGGCAGCCCTACTTAGTATGCCCATTGAACACTTCAAGTATGGCCAGTGCAGCTTAGGAACTGACTTTTTAATTTCATTTAATTTAATTAATGTAAATCATGACACGTGTTATGGCTACTGTATTACACCGTGCAGATATAGCATGAGCAAAGGCAAAAAGCAAAGAGGAATATTAATAAGGATAACTGATGTGTAATGTAAATGTTACCATCTAGCAGGAAATAAAAATATGAGAGTCTAGGTCCCAGGCCACAGGCATTGTAGCAGCATGAGCGACTCATTGAAGTATTTGGCAATATGATGAGCAAGACGACCTCCATTGCCTGGTGGATGAGCCCCAGCAAGATAACTCATGCGGGGGGAGCAAGTAGCCATACTGTGAGCAGCGCCATGAGGAGGTACCATGTGACAACAGTCCCCAAGGAATTGGGCCCTCAGTCTATTAGCCTGCATGAAGAGCTGAATGCTGCCAGCAACCACATGAGTGAGAGCTTGGGATGGTTGCAGGGAGCACTGCCAATTGGACCTTCAGACGAGACTGCATCCCCAGTAGCTGGGTTGATTGCAACTCCATGAGACCTTGAGCCAGAGATCCCTAGGTAAGCCACACCTGGATTCCTAACCCACAGAAACAAGATAATAAATGTTCGATGATTTCAGGTGTTAAAAAATACAGATATAGATATATATGAGGGTCTGGTCATGTTAGGCTTTGTAAGGAGATACACTTTATTCTCTAAGTTGTAGAGAACCATCAGAATTTGCTGAGCTGGACTGTCACAGGTACAGATGGGTATATTATAAACAGAGCTCTCACAGCTTTACTAAAGAATAATGTACTGCAAGTTCAAAGATGAGTTGGGACAAAGTTACGGTGGTCCAGAGAGAGTTGGGGCCTGAAGGAGCGCCATGAAAATGGGAACAGAAAATTAGGGATATGTTTGAAAGGCATTTTGGAGGTAGAACAAAACTGTATCATTTATTGTCCAAACTGGTATCTTTGAGAATGAAAGGGGCATTATTAGTGATTATGGCAACGCTGGGACAAAAGCTATGAACTGGACTGTCTCAGGTAACTTGGGATGTGTATTCATTCTAATAGAATGAGAGCCAATGAGATACGGTTAGAGTAAAAGAAGAATCTAGCTTACATGTTTGAGGAGATGTGTGTTAACTACTCAAACTAGAGAATAAGGTAGGAAAGAGGGCAAGTTTGTAAGAAGAGGAGATTGGTTTTGGACCTGTAAGATTGGAACTTGTTGACTGAACAACACTTGGTGAATTCTCTAAAGTGTTACCTTATTAACACAATCCTAAAGTTTTATATTCATCCTTAATAAAACAAGTAAGAGTGGTTTTCTTTCCTAGATTGGAATCTACTGCACGCACATCAGAGAGCTCAGAAGAATTCCTGGAAGAAGAACCTGAACAAAGTGTTATTGAATTTGAGGACGAAAGTAGTGATAAGGATGCTCGGCCTGCACCAGAAACCCAACCACGTGTGGAAAAGCAAGATGGCGAAAAGGTATATGAGATCCCACTTATTAAATAAAGTAATTGAAAGTAAACTAAATTTTAACTTTCTTAATCATAAATTGTTAGAAAAATCTGTTGACTATTTTAGAGTCATAGTAGAAATTGTGTTTAATGCTAAAAAGCATATCCCTGTACTACCAAGGTCAGGTACTGGAGTTGGGGAGAGGATAAAGTTACAAGTATTGTTTCATGTTTCAAACTGAATTTTTAAAAGTTTGACTTACAGCACAGGTAAAATTGAGGATGTTTAGGTAGTAAGATCCCTCTGTATATTAAAGTATAAATTAATTTGAGAGAGTAAACATACTTAAGTGACAAATTATATGAGTATGAGGTGTACCTTATAGAACCAGTTAGAATGCCATAAGGTCAATAAAGCCTCGTTTGCACCTGTATCTTGGTTAGAAGGATACAACTCATCATTCAAAATATATATTTGATTACAATTGATTACATATTCCTGGAAAAATAACTAAATTCATTTTTTT